ATGGTTGTCGATTTGCCATTTTCATGTTGGGCAATGAGGCACAAAAGAAGGAACACTTCCTAAGGTAATGATTATGTGTATATTTTATGAGGATGTTATTGTTTGAATGTTTCAATGAGGTAAATATTATGTTTGGATGTTGTCTTTGCTTCATGAACAAGGTGGGTGAACAACCCTTAAGTAGGCATAAATTGATAGTTACCTTTTTAATCACCTACTAAGTGTTTGATGGAATGTCATATAAGAAATTCCTAAGGCTAGAAAGAAAGAAAGAGAATTGTCCTTTACTTAGCTCAAATTTGGCTAAGTATGAAAAATTAGGACAAAGAGAAAATTGTTAAATGTGAGGTTTAGAGGATTAAGAGGAGTGAGAATGAATGTGTTTATATGAAAAATTGATGGTTATGATGCTTGTTTGTTTGACCTTGTTATGATATTCATTATTTTTATGGAATATGCAAGGTATATTTCATGTTGCATGCATCCTTAATTATTAGGAACATGTGAATGAATTATAATATTTATACATGTTCTTGAGGATTTAATGATATGCATGTGGATGTTATGTTTATTGCAATACATTTCATTCAAATGCAATCGCTTATGCATATCATTATCATGAAAGAGGAATTTTATTCATGATTTTGATGAAAGGAGAAAAAAAAAGAAAATTTTTTTCATGATTTTCATGGTTTTTCATGAAAATGCCATTTCTTCATTGAGAGATTTGATAAAGGCCTTGACAATTAGGGGATTTGGTGAAGGCCCCAATCGAAGAAATTAGCCCACTTCTTCATCGAGGGATTCGGTAAAGGCCTCGACAGTTGAGGAATTTGATGAAGGCCACAATTGAAGAATGTGGTAATGGCATTTCTTCATCGAGAGATTCGAGTAAAGACCTCAATGGTTAGGGGATTTAATGAAGGCCCCAATCGAAGAAATGATAAAGGAAATGGTGCACTTGAAAAGGAAAAGAAAAAGGAAAAAAGAAAAAGAAATTTTTTTTAAAGGCATCAAAAGGATTTTATGAAAGATGCATCATGTGCATTCATGCATAAAGGACATCATATGCATTACATGAATTATAGTTACTGAGCATTCTTTTGCTCACCATTGTTTTCTTATGATGTAGGAAATGATAAAAATAAATGAAGGATTGCTTGTCAAGACAAGTGACGAACTTGCCAATTTGTGTGCTTTGGTTTGAGTTAATGAGTATGGGGAATCATATATGGCTTAACTTGAATTTTATATATATATATATAGCAAGTGAGGCATTTTTGGTATACACATAGATCAATTAACCAATTATTTTTTTAGAGTAAACAAAAATATTTATTGAAAGTTAAGTTGTTATTATGTCAATTTTGTTAGTTGTAGCTTATGAGTACATAGATGACTAATATGATTAAGATGGTATAATTGATAAGATTATGAAAATGATTGAAAATCAAAATGGCAAGTGAGGAGATTAGGTATGAATGTTAAGAGTAAGATTAAAAGAAAATGAAATGGTTAAATAATTAGAAGAGGTTTAAATGAAATTAGTAAGGTTTAATAGAACCTATAGAAAAGAAAAAAACTATACCCAAAATTAGGTTTAAGAGGACCCGGTATCCCATACTTATTAGGGACCTTATGAATGGTGAAATGTCCATTTACGCTAATGCATTAGATATGATAAAGGAGAAGGCTTCTTGGCTTGTGTTTATTATACATCGAATATAAGTCAATGCCGATAATACCCTCAACCTATCTAGGTCCTAGGACGAGGACGTTACATTATCACTCAATGACATCTACCTTGCAATCTTTAAGTTATAATGACAAATCATAGGGACTCTTCATAGTTCAATTCAAAAATTTATGGTGAATCTATTCAAATCAGACTAAATCTCTCTTTTTGAATTCGTTGGTGACAATAGAGGATGTCATTCCATCATCCAATTTTCTAGTTGATGAGGATGAAGATGATGAAGCCATGTTATTTCGATTTACATACATGAGAAAATCGAATTAAGAGTTTTAAGGTTTGGATAAATGAGAAGATAAATTGATGGTTTTTTAGTATAAGATAGACAAGAAGAAGAAGAATTAAAGTTAAAATGGGTTGGAAATCGTTTGTGATAAGAAGACTCAACAATAGTGAAAAAAAAAAGAAAAAAAGAGAGAAAAAGGAAGAAAGGGTTAGCTGGTTTTGATCGCCTAAGTTGAAGAGAGAAAAAGCAAAAAGCTTAAGTGTTTGTCTATGATTTTTTTTACTTTGCTTTTCCTTTTTCAAGAAATTTAACATTTTGTTTTCTACATGGCAATTTTTTTGCTAGCATTCGAAGGTTGAAGGATGGAAGGGCTACATTAAGAAAATATCAAGAGTAGAGAGATACAATAAATAAATAAAAGAATAGAGGGACTATAATAAGAAAATGTGAAAAGTAAAAGGATGATTTATATGATTAATTCATTAAATGATTTTATCAAGATATAATATTTATGTCAATATTATTTCGAGTAACTAGAGGAATTATTTTGAGAAAGTGGAAAGAAATGAAAAATGAATAATGAAAAGATAAATTGCAAAAAACTAAAAACTAAAAATAAGAATATAGTAATCGATCAAATTAGTATAACAAATTGCATTTCGGAACGTGATAATTGGTGATAATTGATGCAGTACGTACTACATTACCTTTTAACATAAAGGATCCACAAAAGAAACTTGTAGTTGACAAACGAAGTTAACAGATTATAATTGAATCATTTGATTAGATAAAATTTAGAGATCTATAATTTATGTTCTTAAATAAAAAAAATCGAAAAATTCACACACACTCAAAATGTAATTAATTCCTATAAAATATATTCCAAAAGATGAGTCTCCTAATACCTTGGGTGAACTCAATCTCTGACATTTTGGGAAGTTCCACTTAAGATATATCTTTAAGTTTTGTCTATATATATAAGCAAATAGAGTAGGTTGAGCTGGATGGTTGGTATAGTTGCACTTAAGAAATTTGCAAAAGAATACATTGAAAATGATGACCCAATGAATCCGGTTGGGACATCATACATTTCATAACCCTAACAAAATGATACTTGCCAGCCTACACACTTGAGTTATGCATACAAATTCCTCTTCTTATCCCCTTTATTTTGATAATGATATGTCCAGCTTTTAGAAATCCAACTACAGAATCTTAAAGTGATTCAGGAACTTGATTTGTTCATAGGGAAAAAAAAAAAAAAAAAAATCATGTGTTTGAGAGTTATAATTATTGGCAAGTGGGTATCAACATGGGAACTGACAAAGTTCAAGTAGCTATTTATGCCAGCAGTAATGGTTTTAAGAGTTCCCCTTCTTTTGAACTCAATAATGGAAATCGATTGAGTACTCCACCAACTTTTGTTTGCAACTTTTTTTTTTTTTTTTTGTTAATAATTGGACGCAACTGTGACTATTTTAGGACAAATGTCAGTAGTCCTTTCACCATAAAAAGCATTAGTTTTTTTTAATCGATGCTATGCTGTGCATAAGACAAAACACATAAAAATATATTTTAAAAATTAATTTAATTTAATATTTTATATTATATTATACATATATCAAAATATATTAAAATTTATTTAATTTTTTAATTTTTTAATCAAAAATTTGTATTTGACTGATTATTTTTTATATTTTTCATAAATTTTTTTATTTAAAAAAATATTATTTATTTATCTCTATCCACCAAATAAAAAATTTATAATAGTATAAAAATATCAAAATCAATAGATTCTTAGCTAAAAAATTTATCTTGTAAATTTTTTTAAAACATTTTTTTTCCTTAAAATTTTTAATTAAAAAATAAAAAAAGGACAAAAGTAACCAAAACAAAACAAAAAAGAGAGACCAAAATCAAACAAAAAATTTTTAAAAAAGAGAAAACAAAATGTAATGTCACGAAAACTTTTATAATAAATATCTTAAAAATATTTAAAAACTACAAAAATATCACTTGTATAATGAAATGAATAGTATATCAAAGTTTGGATGGATAGTATGAATGTGTTTGGATAAAATAAATATAGATGAATAGTGTTTCAAATGATACGGAACAACCATTTACTTTAGTTTTTTTTTTTTTTTTAATGTGATTGTTTGTTTTGTTTTTAGCTTTTCTTTTTTAATTAGAAAATAGAAAGAACTAGCTAGCATTTTGTACCATTCAATTGAAGTTGTGCTTGGTTACCTGAAATAGCAAGTCAGGTAACACATAGAATTTATTTTTACTTACTAAAATATGTAATCATTTAATTTTATATAAAAAAAAGTCAACTACTATATTTATTTTTTATGCTATTCATGTATCTTGAAAACCAGTTATGAAAACATTGGGTGTAGTTTGATTCATTTCCGTTTCTCGAAAAAAAAAATCATATTTGAAAAATAAGAACTAAAAAACCTTGTCAAAACTTTTTTAAAATAGAAAAAAGTTATTATATATATAAAAAATCTATTTTCTTGATTTTCGGAAATGATACTAAAAGATCCATCAATCATTATTCTAGTTTTTCGCAATTGGACTTACAATTTGATAACAATAGATGATAACCTAACACGACCTTATTTTAGAATTTCCCTCTAATAAATAACCATTTATATAAGGCATAGGATTTTGGCGAAATAAAAAAAGAAAAGGAAAGGTTAAGATTTGTGACATCACGTTGCATCATAGAGAAAACGTCACAATGCTTTTGTAAGCAATGTATATATATATACAAACCATTGGAAGGAATTTTCTAAGAACCTTTCTCCAATGCCTCCTTCCTTCGATCTTCCTTTATTTTACCTCTCTCTTTCCTTATTGCCAAACAAAGGGAAAAATATCATAAAAGCCAATCTTTATCTTCTCTCTTTTGCTCACTTTCCACTAATATATATGCCCTAAAGCATCCCATTTGTGTATATACACTACGGAATAGACAAAACAAGCAAGAAAGAAACAAAAAAACTAACAATAATGGGCACTTGTTGTTGGCCTGAAAAACTATCATCAAGCAAGGAAAGGGTGATAAAAGAACTTGTAATTCAGGGCCATGAATTTGCATCCCACCTTCAATTTCTCCTTCAGAAACCTTCTGGAGATTTTGATGGGTGCCTTGCTTTAGTTGATGAGCTTGTAGGGAAGATCTTGAGATCTTTCGATGAGACTCTTTCTGTCATTACTTCTAGTGAATCTGCAGGTGGTGAGGTTTGCCAAAATCTAGCAAGTTCACAAGGGGATTCTGCCTGTTATGATGACCGGAGGTCTGAAGATTCCGGCGAGAGCAAGAAGAGGCTGGCTATCAAGAATAAGAGGGGTTGCTACAAGAGAAAGTAAGTTTAACTATTTATTTGTACAATATTTAACTATTGTACTTTTACCTTAATTACTACCATCATAATCATGATGATTATGACCTGCACTACTGAAACCTTTATGGGGTGAATTCAATTAATCCCCTCAATTTGTTGATAAAAATGAGAGGAATTCAATAAATCATAAGAATTTCTTTTTCTTTTTTATGAAAAACTAATTATATCATCATCTTTGATTGCTCCCAGAAAGATTTCCCAATCATGGACTACAGTCTGTCCTACAATAGAAGATGGTCATGGATGGAGAAAATATGGGCAGAAGGAGATCTTGAATGCTAAATACCCAAGGTTAAATAATTTTTCTCCTCTGTTTCTCTGGATCTCTCTCCGATTTTTGATATACAAATTATGGATCCAATATTAATTAATTTTGATCAGTCTCATTTGATATAAATTAGTGCAATCTTAAAAAGTACTGGGGCAGACTATTTTCATAAAGCAATCCAAAGTGCAGAAAACTAGGCCTTGGAAAGAGAGTCATGAAGTAGCTAGCCCAAGTGGAGAAAGATTTGCTATTTTCATAAATTAATTAATTATATATATATATATATGGAAAGGAAGACACTAGCTAGTGCCGGTTGAACTAAATATCATTGGCCGAGGTTGAAAAAATTGTTGCTAATCCCACTATCTTGATTGATTACAGGAGCTACTTTAGGTGTACAAGGAAGCATGACCAAGGTTGTAAAGCAACAAAACAAGTCCAGAGAATGGAAGAGAACCCAGATATGTACCATACCACATACATTGGCCACCATACATGCAGAGACATCCTTAAGGCTCCACAAATGATCACTGATTCTGATCCTTGGGAATCTTACAATTATAATAACATTGTCACTTCCCATTCAAAGATTCCTAAGTACGAAAAAGAAGAAGAAGAACACCATCCCTTTATTGGGTCTTCCAGTAAAGAACCCAAAATAAAGCAAGAAGAATCTAAGGAAGATGCACCAAGTGACCTAACAGGTGATGTTTCATCTTTAGATTCAATCGTGTGGAAGGATCTAATACCATTTGAAGAATCAGTGGATGAGCCTACCATGATATTGAGGCCTGATTGTGGGGTAGTAGTGGATTCTGTACATGCGTACTCATGTACGGAGGTCACTTCTCAAAGTTTGGACATGGATTTTTTCGTCAGGTCTATTGATTTTGACTGTGATTTTCATTTTGATGAGAGTGAGCTTTGTAGGCTACAATAGTTAGTTTCTGTTTAAAATTAGTAATTAAAACCAACTTCTAAAGAATCCAGTGTACCTTTTTTTCCAATGTATACTAGTCTGTCGTAATTTCTGTTGTTCATGACGAAGAAAGATTGTACTTGTAACAACCATTCCTAAAGCATAATTCATAAACTTAATTGGATGTGTTTTTTTCATAATAATAATAATAATTTAACTATATAAGTATTAACATGGCAGACAAATAAATATCAATTAATAAGGATCCATGAGATGAATGATCAGTTTTTATATTGACATTAAAAAAATTCACGCTATATGTAGTAGAAGAGATTGACAAAAAAGGGTGTCATTTTCTTAAATCAAAATTGTTGTATTATGTCACATAGATTGAAAAAGGGATTGGATATTTGATTATAAAAATGAAGGAAAGTCTCATTCCTTAAGCTAGCTTTTAAAGTTGAGAATGACTAATAACGCTTAATGTTAATAACGAAATTCGAGTTAAACAATTTTTTATATGTCAACATCATATAAATAGACGAGAAATAACCAACTTTGAAGCTAATATTTAAAAGAAGAGATTATTATATTATCTGATATCGATTATAGATGGAGTTAGGTGTTTAGTTATAAGTATATATGATGAACAGTCTAATTCTTTAAGATAGTTTTTGAAATTGAGAAGGCTTAGTATCACCCAATAAAAACTTATCTTCATCTAGAATAAGTAAATCTAGAATGAGGAAAGGAAAGAAATAGATTAGCTCTTTTTTATTTTATTTTTCATATATATATATATATATTGTCTTATTTACGAGGATAGAATTGATATTAACCCAGTACTTTAGTAGGAGTATACATAAGTAGGTTTAATACAAAACAAATTAGGTGCCCGAGCTGGAAGGGAACTGATGATGCATGTGGCCAAAAGTGAAGTCCAAAGGTATTTCAAAAGGTAAAGCGAAAATGAGTGGAAATTTCCCATAAAGACCGGTCAATAGAAATTGAATATTGTTTAGATTCTAGAATATGGACCAATTTAATCACTTTCACCCTTGCTTTATCAATTTCTGTCCGAAACAGTATTCTTCACCTAACTTATGAGCTTCCATCCATTTATGCATTCCTCAGCAAAATTAATAGATTTTTTTTTTTTTTTTTTTCCTGTATGAACTTTAACTAATGAATGGAGTTTCAAGTAGCAAAGCTCTGCGACAGTTAAACCAAACGGCGTCATTTTGAGCAATTTTGGCTTAAAACGACTTTTTTCAAAACAAATAAGTAATTTTTTTCATTTATTTGATTTTTACACTTTAATCCTTTAAATTATTATTTTATATAAAACAGTCTCTAACTTTAATTTCCGTTATACAAAGGTCCTTATATATATATACATATTGTTTGGCTAGGCTGGACTTCCGGTGCAGCGGCATGGGCCTGCTCCAGGGCCATGCAGAAGGGCTTAGTGCCAACCCAACCCAGCCTTTTTTTATTCTTTTATTCTTTTTTCAATATTTATTATTTATCCAATATTTTTTTTCATAATTCATGGCTATTATTATTATCTTGTAAAGACTCATTAACTAAAATTAAATATTTGTCTAATATAAATTGATTAATTACCTTCTTCTAATTTGATTTTTTTAAATAAATAATTAATTGCATTTTTCTTTATCAAAATAATATATAAGATTAAATAGATTTTCACAGTTAGTGTTAATTAATTTAATTTAATTTAATGCCTATATTTTTGAACTTTTTAAAATATTATATTTTTAAATTTTTTAAAATATTAAAATATAGTATATAATAATAGATTTACCGGCGGCAACGCGCACGGTTAGTATGTTAGTTTTCACGTGAATCTAGGTTATTTATCCATATGTTTCTGAACAAATATTTCATTTGATCCATTTTAAAAATGCATATAAATTTTGTTTTGAAAGCAATCCACTTGAAAAAGAAAAGGAAGCATGAAAAATATAAGAAATTCAATCAATAAAAGATACAAAATCAAGCCAATTAAATTCAAATAGTTTTCTTTTAAAAAAATTCAATCAATTAAAGCATAAAAATATTATAAAAACACACAAATATCAAATAATTCACTTAAACATTAATAAGCGCGGTGTAATGCTACCCCAGAAAAAGATGAAGAGAAATTCAGTGTATTTAAAGCTACCTGTAGAAGATTAACATGAAAGAAACTTGGTATTCTTTTGAGCTTACAGTGGCTAGTAGTTATACATGTTTATCAATAAATTAAGACATAATACATTAATTGTTGATGACAAATTAATATCTGCACCAACCATCTAAAAGACATGTACACATTGATTTAAGGATGCTCTTTGCACAAGCCCTTATGGTACCTACTGTTGAGAATTCTTGCCTAACCATGAAGCATTCAACCAATTAAAATTGAAAAAAAAAATGCCTATCAAAATCATATTCACTAATCCAGCCGAAATACGCCATATATATATATATATCAGCACAACCAAGTGTTTAAAATGAAAAAAAAAAAAAAATGCCAATCAAAATCGTAGTGTACAATTCGAAAGTGATTCGTTAATGAATGAATTGAGATTCATGACCTATCAAAATAGTTTCCAAGGGCTGAATATAAAGTTTAAATTTAATTAAGTAACTATATATGTTTCCCCCGAAAGAGACAACAAATTGAAGGAAACTCTCTTATTCTACCTAACCATCACATGCAGTCCTGCAATTAGGCCTATATATCAATTTTTTTTGTCACTTGGCGGATCCCATTTTTCTTCCAAGATGGAAGGGAAAATAAATTCCATGCTATTGGTGCTACTGCTGCCGGAATTAAACATGGCATCAGCCATATCTGTTACTGGGTAATCAGCTTCTTTGCCATATCGACTGACGGTGGAGGGACCTGCACCACCACTACTCCCCGCAGCCATGCTGCCGCTGCTGCTGCTGCCACCAGCACTACCTCCAGAACCCAGACTAAATTCCAGCCATCTAGCAAGAGAAGTTGTTGCAGATGGCTGAGGCTGAGCAGTCATAGTTTGAGCCATCTCCTGTGTAATTTCTGGTGCTGGTGGTGGAACTGATGGTGCCGTGGCAGACATGTGGCAAGTGTGCCCGCCACGGTATGCTACCTCAAATGTGTAGGGATCATCATCGAGTCGCTGAACTTGTTTCTTGGCTGGGCAATGGTACAACTTTTGGTGGGTGCACCTGTAGTAAGCCCTGAAAGGGACAGATTATATACGCATATAGTTAAAATACTAGAACAAAATATGTATGTTAGTGGCAGAAGTAGTTGGCCCTAATTAATATGATTTTGAACAACTTGGTCAATTTGATTTTTCTAAAATTCATTCTTTCAATTCTATTCACGCCATGACATGGAAAATGATCTGCTTAGGGCGTTTACTAAACCCCTTGTTTGCCAAAAAGCAGTCAATTACTCAATCTTTTAGTTGGTTTGTATACCAAGTCAACGTCTGAAAGAAAGGTAAAAGCTAGCACGAAAAAAACGCAAGTTCAATATATTATAAAAGAGTTTCAATGTTTAAGAAACTTTCTTAATTTTATATGCTTTGAATGTGTCATAAAACATAGGTTTTCTAGAAAACTCAGAAAATTAATAATATTTTCTTCTCAGCCATGCACATTGTAATTACCTCGGGAACCTTGATCCCAGTATCTCTTTCTGCCCATATTTCCTCCATGTGAAGCCATCCTCTGGTGGGATTTCAGTATTGCCAAACTGTTGAGCAGGTACCCTCACAGTTTGTTTCTCGGCATCATCCTTCCTACATATTTAGAATCATAGCTATATAGCCATTAGCCTAATAAAACGCATTCGAACTTTTTGACGAGTTTAATTTCTTATAATTCCTAAACAGAAAGAAAAAAACACACACACACATGCACATATAATTGAAGGAAAGGTATGCATGAATATTGAATTGAATATACATACATAATTTTGTATGTTCAGACATATTCACAGAAAAAAATACGTACAGTAGGAACAATACACTACCGACCCTCTTTTCCAAGAATAAGGGTTATATGGAATTGCTTTTATGATTTACTTTCCATGCAATTACCTTTCGGCAATTCGCATGTGAGTTGTAAGGCATGTCTAAAAGCACTCCACATTGAACGATTTTAGGTTTATGTAAAATTCCGTCCATGATTCCGTTAGTGTTTTACAGTTTTCTGGCAGTGTACGAAGATGATTCTGAAGTAAAACACAAGTCATCTACATTTTGTACAGGAAAATGTTACAGTAATTAAAGTTTCGATAATGTGAAAACTGAACATGAGCATTGAAATTTCTCACCTTCTTCGCGGTCTTTGTGAGGATGATGAAGAACCTCTGCCAGAATCTGATGCTTCCATTGCCTGAACATCTGATCTGCTACCTAATTCAATAACTAGACCTCCAGACCCCATTTGTATCCCTCCACCTACCTTACTCTCAATCAATCCCAACCCACTCCTCTCGGCCATAAGGTCCTGTGTTTGATGAAACAACGTCTCCATGGCTGATGTGCAACTAGTCCTTAGCCATTCCTGTACGCTGGGATCAATATTCTGTTGTTGCTGTAATTGCTGTCCCATATAACGAGGATATGAAGTGGCGTCTTGTTGATGAACATTTAGCCTTTCCCTAGCATCAATAAAAGCCCTAATGATTTGTTCACATGAATTGGAAAGAATTTCTGGTTGGTTGGCTAAGTTTGCGAGGTTTAATTCAAGGTCTTTAGCTAACCTGCATCCGTGAAGGATTAAGGAAATGGTCTCATCCATGGTTTCTTGTTGGTTTTTGAGGTTTTTGGATGATTTTTTATTTGAACATTGAAGAAATTTAAATGGGGGTGATAATGAGCTATTTGGAGTGCTTTCTATGTTGGTGCTTGATGGTTCATTTTAGAGAAAAGTGGGAAATTATTCAAAGTATTTATGTATGTTTTACACGGTATAAAGAAGAACCTAAAAGTTGGAAAATATGACCAAGTCACGGTCTCCTTAACATGCACTTCAAACCTTCTGTTGAGTCTAGACGAAGACCGTCTCCCATCGAAGCCCACTTTGTTTTGGACCTCGAAGAACTTTCCTAGTTTTGAAGATATCACCATTAACTAGAAAATTCCCCTTTCCTACCCCTTCCTAGCAAATCCCAGGAACGAAAAATTACTGATAAAATCTTTTTTATTAAATGATATGATAATTTGTTAAGAAAAAAATTTTTAATTCATAAAATAAAATAAAATATTTAAATACATTGTTAGTTCAATAGTAAATTGCTTTTCAATATACAATATTTGAATTCTAGAATTATAATTATTGAGAAATGTTAAATTTTATCACTTTTATTTCAAATAAAATTAGATATATATATTTGAATTCTAGAATTATAATTATTGAGAAATGTTAAATTTTATCACTTTTGTTTCAAATAAAATTAGTTATATCTTAAACGTGGGATGATGTTATTTTTTTTAAAAAAATATAAATATATTAAATAATGAATCACCAATTATATATATATATAAATAAAAAAATCTTAATAAAAAAAGGTTAAATAACTTTCACATTAATAAATACGAAACGTGATTATGGAATTGTCACATGCATAGTGACGACCCACAAATTACATGGATAATAACAATAATGTTTTGGTTCTTTAATTTATAATTTACTCTGTAGAATTTGTTGTTGCCAGCAGCATAAAGTAGGCAGCCTTCAAAATTCATTGGTCTTTTAATACCTTTTCTTGAAGAAAAAAATTCTTAATGTCAGATTCTGAATCGATCTTCACTTTTTCTATAAAATAATATGTTATATTCTGAAAGGTTGTCAGAAAATAATCTAACCGTAATTGGATTCCTTAAACAGCTAATTAAATTATAATTGAATTGAATTACACACCAACAAACAAATGTTCGGTACATGTAAATAGGACGATATTTTTTAAGAAAAACTAGGGGTATATATATATATATAGGAGGTTGACATAATTATTAAGTAGGTATGCTTTTTTTTTTTTTTTTTCTAATTTCAAACCTAAAATTAATATTCAAAATAAATTATTTCTAAATATGTCAATATGAAAGATATATTTTCACCTCAATATGAAATATATGTTTTAAAAATTATTAATATAAAATTAAGTAGGTATGCTTTTTTTTTCCCTAATTCCAAACTTAAAATTAATATTCAAAATAATTTATTATTTTTTTTCTAAGTACGTAAATATGAAAGATATATTTTCACCACAATATGAAACGTGTGTTTTAAAAATTATATTTATATATATATATATATATAAAAGTTTGATAATAAATAATAATTAATTTATAGGTCATATTTAGGATTTAATTTTTGTTATTAATATTTTTAAGAATTTATTTTTAAAATATTTAAAACACTACATTAGAAAATATCTTACTTAGGAGGGATTTGAACCTAAAAAAGCTTAAACAAGTAATTCCACGAGAGTCGATTTTTTGAAGTTGGACTATTCGTTAGGTGCCCGGCGTCATGGGCAATGACCGTTAATTGGTTTGGTCCTCAAACTCCTAGAAGGGCATACTTGCATGTGGGCGAACAGAGTTCAATTTTCCATGGGTCCCTTGTCGTGCGTAGAGGTTATGAGCTTTCTGCCACCAGCTGCGTTTTCGTAGACATTTTATGAGAATTAATTAGTCTTCCTCCTGTAGATTCTCCGTAATCATTGGTCTGTTAAAGGAAGACTTCATGACTTCGGTCTGTTCTAAACCCTGGAACAGTGGCAATGACGCTAAGAGTAAATTATAATTTAGTCCCTCATGTTTTGCAAAACAAATTAAATAATCTCTCTAAATTTCAAAAACTAATTAATTAGTCTCTTAATCGGTGCTGGGCATTCTTGATTTCATCTTAATTTTTTTCAAAAAAAAATGTCTTCTTTTCCCATATGTCTTTCCATAATATCTATTTTTTTTTTTTTATCTTTTCTATTTCTTAAAAAAAAAAAAAAAACTAGAAAAGAACATGAGGTGGATGAAAGAAACTAATTAAGTCTTGGATTTGTTTTGGAAACTAAAGAAACTATTTAATTCAGTTTGTAATACTAGAGAGACTAATTTATAATTTAGTCTAAGACTAAACCCTAAAAAAATTCTTGCATTTGCCTATATCTCAACACACGTTAAGAAATGACTAAAAAAGCAGATGTGGTTTTGATTAGGAATGTCAACAAATCAAATTTGAACTAGATCATAGTAGATTCAGATTTAATTTGTTTAATAAAACCGATTGAATTTTGAAAATATCAAACCAAGTTCGAATCTTAATGGATACATATCGGATTTAGAACTTTATTGGATTTATCGTTGATTTTCATAAAAAAAATTTATATCTGCTATATTATTTTAATATAAAATGTATTTCAAACACTACATGTTTAAGAAAATATATTAAGATATTATTTTATCTATTAATTTTGTAAAAAAAATCAAAATATCACACAATTCAAAAGCATAAAATCAAATAATTCTGATAAAATTTTGTTTTGAACTAAGTGAAAAGTATGATCAGAGCTAAAATTGATTATTCAAGTGAGTATTTCATTCACTGTTTTGACGTACAAGTTTTATTTTCTTACAATTAGCAATATCCTCTCTATTTGTTACAATGAACTTCTCAAAATATTGTCATAACTTTGATGCCAATTTTTTTTTTCTAGGTAAATGTAGATTTGTAGTATCCTCAACTTCTATAATCTGATTGCTATTTTCTCTGTTCGGTGTAGTCATCTAGTAAATAAATCAAAATAAATAAATTTCATCAGAAGTATTGATATCAAATATTTTTACTTAGAGGCAACATATGTTTTGGGATAAAATGAAGAAAATTAAAAAATTATGAAATCTAGAACTTCACTTAAGGACATGTGTATTTAGATGATATTAAAATTTTAGCGAAAAACCACATCAAAAACTTTCCCAAATGCACAAAAACACAAAACCAGTATTTGTTTCAAGAAACTATCAAGTCAGCCCATATCTATAATAATATCATCAATATATCAACCTCTAATACCCTCAATCCTCCAATATATCAATCCAAATCATTGAAAAAAACCATGATTATATTAAATCAAATAAATAAATCAGGTATCAATAAGTAAAAAGGAGTGACAGGGAGTTGTTACTAAAACTAGAAGGTCAGGGATCAAACTTTATCATCTTAAAAAACTGAGAGACTAAACGGTGCTGAAGTTGCTGGACTTGTTCATGTTTGAAACTTGTAGATTCAAGCTCAAACTTGCAGGAAATGGTCTGCACCTGCTAAGGGGAGCTGCTGGACTTTATGTATGGAGGAATTCTTGCCGGATAATGGGAGGAAGTTGTCGGTCGAAAAATATCGTGAGAGAGAGAGAGAGAGGCTATTTACAGTTGATGGGATTTTTTTTTTATATATATTTTTGATAAAATCACATGGATTTATTTTTTGGCTTTCGTTATTTTTGTTTTCTTTCGATTTTATCTCTATGTTTTTTTCTGGATTTCTTCATTAATTTCATTCCCCAACTTGTAAATATATATATATATATATTGAATTGGGTTATTATCGGAGCATATTAAGAAAAATTCATATTTAATTTGTTTAATAAATATAATAACATATTCGAATCATTATAAAAATTATATACCATATATATATAATTATATTGAATTTGGATTTTACAATACTAGACTTGATACATGAAAATTGGTTTAAGGATATCTCTAGTAAAAAGAAAAAAGAAAAATATAAATAATAATAATAACTTACAATAACCACTTAAAAATTTGAAGATTTGGAACAAACCCCATATTATAACAAAAAGACTCTTGATTACTATTTTATAAAATAGTTAAATTATAAATTATTTTATATTTTTCTATTTGTTCAAGCTTTAAATTTAATTATCTTTTTAAATAGTAATTAAAGATATTAATCTAGGGTACAAAAGGAGATTTCACTAATATGTTTTTATAAACATCAAGAGATTTTTGTCAAATCTTCAAACTTTTGGATAATCCATGCATGCAAGTTTTCAATAGCACAAATGAATTATTGTAATCTACCAAAAAAAAAAACTCTATTTTTCATAGTTTTACAAGCACTTACAAATATGGAATAAATAAAATATATATGGTAGAATTTTGTTTTATTGATGAACTATATATAGCTGTTAAATTAATTGTACAAAGAAATGCAGTTAATGTATTAACTAATGAAAGGTCGATCGGCTCATGATCTCAACGGCCCATAGTAAACTTACTTTCTATATAGCTGAATCAATGTACTATTTACTAGCTTTGAAGGTGACTCCAAAACCATACAATTTATATATGAAAAATATAATTCATACAGCTCGAGCTAGGAAAGTGCACCAAGATTGTAATTGAATCAGCAATAGCTATAAGTTTGGCATTTTTATAATTTTTTATAGTTTAATTTGTCCTTTTGCATTTCACCTTGTTTATTTTCTTTTCCAATATTTAGACTTTCTCCTCTATCGTATTTCATCATCCATTGCTTCAATAGTACTGTTCTGAGAGGCTTCTAATCTTAATTTCTAGTCTTTAAATCCAATCTCATTGATCTTTTAGTTACAAAATAGAAAGTTCCAAGCGTAGATAACTAATTACATTTAATTAGACAGTCCTCGATCTACTTTCTAGGAATTTTTTCATCTCAATTTTTGAGTTTAAAATCAAATTCACAGCTTTAGAAATTCAAATATCAAGTGTAACCCCTACTAGCTTGTCATATACTCCCGCAACAATTTTGATCATTATTCGTATATAATTAATTGTTTAAATTTGATTATGTTAATGTAATCTTGTTTGTATATTGTTATCATAGTCATTATAACTGTCTTTATTCGTATTATTCCTATTATGTTTAAATAAAAATAGTAATATATCTCATACCCATGAAAAATGTTTAACCCTAGCTAAATTTTATGTAATTAATTTTTATTGCATTTTATTTTACTTTTCATACTTGGTATCAATGTTTATTGATTTATTTTTATTGAAGTTGAAATTAGAAAATCTCTACCCTAAAATTAAAATAAAAAGTGCTTGAAATTTTAAAAAATATAAAATATATTTTATTTTCTCGATGCATCGAGTTTTGAAAGAAATACGATTGTATTACTTGATTTTGTAATTTTATTAATAAAATAAAAAGACTTTATTGAAAAGTAATAAGGATTCATATAATACATAATTCAATTCTTATACTGTTATAAATTTTTGAACAGCTTGAAAGACCTTGATTTGGATTAACCTAGTATAACAAATAGTTTTTTTGATTTTTGGCTTTTACATCTTACTAGGAAATATTCAATATACGTCTTAAATTAAAACTTATCATAATGAGCTTTCATCAATTGGTTTAAATAAAAATAATTTACAATACACCTATATTAATAAATATTAAGAGATTGTGATTCAAACATTTTAGCTAATTTTTTCTCATATTTTTTTTTTCAACTTGGTATCAATGTTTTTCCCTATATACATGGCAAGAGGAATCCAATTTATGTGTCAATTTTTAAATAGATGATAAATTATTATTGGTTAAAATTTATTGACACATAAGTAATTTATGTGTTTTAACATTAAAATACAATTAGAATTGCATTTGTTTTACTATTATATATTGATTGATTGTTTGTTTCAAAATATTATTCTTTTTTTTTTTTTAACAAACGTAATTAAAAACAATCTATAACTACGTATAAAAATATGAAATCCATCTAAACATTTGATTTGATAGAAATATTTTTAGTGATTACCATAATTTCTAAGTACATCCATATTTTAACCCCAAGTTACCTTTAAATAAAAGAGATTTCCTTGCCCAAATAAATCCATAAAAGGATAAAGCAACCCTTTTGCGTTTAAAAAAATTTGTTGTCACATATAATATATTTTGAGTGAATAATAAATCTACGCCGCATGTTGAAGAAATCATCACCACTCAATAACCAATTAAAATATCAAAGACATTGAATTTCAAATAAAACGCATCATTCAATTCCACTAACTCATCGTTCACATAGTGACAGGTCTATGGATCAATAAAGTTGAAAAAGAGAAATATGAAAACAGGCTAGATTTTTGGAACCAAGTCATACATGTCAGGTCTATCTTTATCTTGACAATCATTACTTGTTGTGAACTAAAGGGCAAAAAAAATAGCAACACTGAAAGAGAAAGAAAAATTGTGAGAATTTCATCTCAATTGGTAGGAAGTCTAATAGTTATGATAATGACTTGAGATCCAACATTTAACTAGGAATAATGGAAACATAATTTAAAAATCATAATCTTTATATCTCAAAAAGATTATTTTTCTTTTTATTTATATTTATTTCAAAATAATTATCTGATTAAAATTTTAAATAATATATTTCCTTAAGTTATCCTTCATTGATAAAGAAAATCAATTTTTTCTTTTAGTTCATATTCTTCACCAACAAAAAAAAAAATCAATATGCTTTATACTTTTCTCTTATACACACAAATACTTTTAACATAAAATTTCAAAGAGAAATTTTTTTGTTACATGAAAAATTATAGAAACTTTATTGCATGCAAAAATTTTGAGAGTAAAATATTTTCATTAGTATGTTAGTGTTCTATGATCATTTTAAAGTTGGTCATTAATTAACTTAAAGTTTTTTTTTTTTAATTTGCCACCTTAATTTTGGATAGATTTTCTCTTTAAATTAAAGGTTAATAGTCTCATATATCCTTATATAATAGATCAATTTTTTAATTTATTTTTATATTTTAAAACACCTCCAGATCTGTTCGTTTTATTTGTGTTAGTTTCTAATTTATCCTTGTAGTAAAAATTTTCGATCAATTCATCATAAATTAATCTTCATATTAATAGATATAGATCATTTGTGCCAAATAATAAAGATAATTTCACTACAATAATAAATTTAATTAGTGACGGTCTAAATGTGAAAAAGCTGTCACAAAAATGTTTTTGCGATGGTTTGACCATCGCTAAAATGCTCGACCGTCGCTAAAATGCTCGTCGTTAAATTTTTACAACGATTTATCGACCGTTGCCAATTTAGCGACGGACAAAATCGTTGCAAAAAAAAAAATCCTTATTAAATATGATTGTAAATCCTTGCAATATTTGCGACGATCGTGTAAACCGACGGTAAGTTAGCGACGGACTTGGGACGGTCCCGTGATTGTTGCAAATTGGGTTGTTTTTAGCGACGGACTTAGGACCGTCCCGTGATCGTTGCAAATTAGGTCGGACCGACGCTAAGGTTGTCGCTAATTGTTTAATTATATATATTTTTTCGCCCATATAAAATTAACTAAAATTAACAATTTTTAAATAACAAAATCAACTAAAATATCTTAAACATAATATTTTAAAATTTCAAATATATTATTATAAATTGTATTAAAACATCACTAAATATTATTCGATTATTAAATAACCGATCGGTTAATACAAGAAAACGTGAAAGCTAAGAGAAATTAATGGTCGGGATCACTCGGAGGTTGAGTGGAGTCGTCCGAAGGCCGGGTGGAGTCGTCGCCGGTCTCGGGAATGGCGAGATGAACTACCACCATGGTGAAAATGTTGTATGAACATTGTTATATCCGTGATATCATCATAAATTACTATCGACTATACTCTCTCAACTCATTTGTTATATCTAACAACAATGTGACACGATCCTTTAGCGTGTTGACGGTACCTCGTAGGTTATGGATATCCGTCGTATTTACGGATTTTGGATCTTGTACTTCATTAAGTCGTGCCTCGTTAGTAGCATTGAATCAAGAAGTAGCGAGCTTGAGGCTGTATTGATGTTAGAGTAATAGTGAGATTCTTGTGATCCGAGTCCGTACATCCTCTTTCTCCTACTATCTCCTCCACCAACGGCCCTCCGAAATATCTCATTAATGTTAGGTCCGAGTCGATTCGGTCCCTCCTAACTATCGGCTAGCAACCTCTTCCTCATTTATTAATTTTTATGCGATCTCCTACATAATTGTGAAACACATCATATTAAATACGTATGTGAAATAACGTTATAAATTAATAATTGTGAAATAATGTTATAAACTAATAACTTACACCGATAAGCCTTGATCGTTGAGCGACGAAGACAAACTTATCATCAACCTTTCTCTAATGAGTCCTCAAGAAAACCTCGTGAGGATCGGGTTCACAACTCAACACCTTACGTTAAAACCATAAATATACGTAAATGTATTAAATATACTCAAATGTTTAATTAATTATTTTGGATATTATATATATATATATATACCATGTGTATGGCGTGCTCTTTATGGTTGATCGATCCCTCCGTATGTCTAGAAGGACCGGCTCCGACACCACCGAGTCTCGCCCCTACGATTTCATGCTGCCATCTCGGATCGGGCAACGGACTCGGGTTTTGCCCATTCCGTAGTCCATGCATCCCATACTTCTTGTGAGATGAATGTTGGCTTTGGTTTTTTCTTTAGACAACAAAGAAAGTCGGAATATTGCTTACGTGCGAGACTTTTCCATGCTTTCTTAAGCTGTACTCTCTTTCAAATCATCATCCCACTTAAATGATTTTTGCAAGAAAAATAATAATTATTATTACTAAATTTATTTACATATTATTTTGTGTTATTTAATTAAATATTAAATAATGTAATCAATTAATTTTAAAAATTAGTACCTTAAACTCTTCCCGGTAAAAATCTTTTATCTTTAGACTCATTTTCTTCCACATCCATCTAGAAATATGAACATACTCCTGAAATGTCTTAATGATCGTGCGAGAGCAAACATCGGAGGGATATAACCTACAAAAAATAGACTAATTAAATTAATAAATAAATGAGTACATAATAACAATAATAAAAAAATGTGTCATAAAATTAAGCATAAACCGTACTCATTGCGACCAACGACAATGATTCTAACTCGCTGGTCGATCGTAGATATGATAGGTTTCAAAGTCGATTAACACGGGACGTTGTACGGTGGAACGTGTTTAGGAACAAAATAATTGTCTTAATGTGACGAAGGAGCTGATGACAACGAAGAAAAAGATGAAGGAGGACGTGGAGGTCCATAATAAGGAAATGGTTGAGGTCGAGACATGTCGGGCATCGAACGGTATGTCGAAGGGACATTAGAAGAGTGGTAAAAAGGCATGTACGTGGGGGGACCCATCCGACCATGAACGAAATGAGAATGGTGTCCAAGTCCACAATCATTGTCCGACTCAATATCTAAACCACGACCCCTACTTCAAGCTATTATGACCTACACATTAATTATTACATTCATTAGTATTGAAATAAAATATTAATTATATAATACATACTAACATATAACATTCAAATTAATATGAACAATTTGAAATATATTTAAACAATAATAAAAGACAAACTTATATTTAATTAAATTTTACATTTAAAAAGTACAAGTTAACTATTTAGGCCAACAAAACCATAAACCTAATTTTTTTTCTTTTTTGACGAACATGGACGGTACCACGGAGATTTATTGAAATAATGTGAAAAATTACAATGAGGGGACAAAACCAGCCTAGCCCAACAACTCGAGAGGACGGGGTTGCCTAAACCCTTAACTTCGTACTACAATTACATAAAATCTATATGCATAATTTGTCAATTGAATATAAAATATAATATAACATAATCTAATAGGATATACCATATTATCGCTAATCGGTATCATGATCATCATTGTCACATTCTTTATCTAAGTCTTTCTCAACATCGATTTCAAACTCGGATTCATTCTAAAGATTAATTTCACCTCCTTCCAAATCTAATAACGCTCTAGTAGGATTGATCAATGACTGACCTTCATTATCATAAACGTGGATGACATTGTATTGGCCTTTCATTTTGTTTTCTAGAAAGGGTTCGATATTTGTTTGATCGACGATAATAGACGATTCCGGCACATCCACCATCGGCCTTGCTTTGACCTTACATATTGCGAAACAATCGCATCTTATGCATTTACATGTAGTATATGTTACATAATACACTTGATGCTCTTGTGATGCTAGTATGAAGAGATTGGATATATTTAAATACCTACGACTATAGACCTCGACTAACCCATAATGATCATGAACTCTTGTACCAATGCCGAGTGTAGTATCATACCAATCACATTTGAACAAAACGGTTTTCTTTATTGGTAAGAGTTGGATACTCAAGTTCGAGTATATCAATCAACCTACCGTAGTAGTCATTTTTCACCACATCGTAGCTAACTCCTTTTACACACACTCCACTACACATTGATGCTCTCTTCGAACCATGAACATCGGTGTGAAACTTATACCTATTTACAATATACCCTGTATATGACTTAGTTGTTCACAATGATTCTTTTACCGGATCTTTAATGTAATGATCCGTTACGGTATTAGGTTGTGCTCGACTTGCCTATAAGGATCGGGTCAATTATAAGTTAATGTTATTATAAAATTTGATAAAAATAATTTTATGAATAATTAATAATAATCTTTACTTTCTAATACTCACATATTGATGGAACCATGATACAAATTCATTTTGAAGCCAAAAATCAACCTCGTTTTTCGATATGTTGAGATCATTTTCATACGATTGGTCGATAAAATATTTGATGAAGAAAAATATTGTTATTATATGTTTTAAAAATGAATGATACTTAATGAATAAATATATAGTAATATTTGACGGTTATAGCACTTACTCCGTATAAGGTGTCACCTCATCACGGTTTAACAAAATGTAGGTATACGATGCATTCTTTTCTCGATCCGTCTGGACATGTGATCTTGCTCGACCAAGTGGTCTACCTTTAGGTTTGAATATTGCAAGCATGCCTTTAATATCGTCATTTGGTTCTCGATCACACTCAAAGTTTCTAGGCACTTTTCGATGCCTAGTGTGTACATGAGGCTCGAAGTAATATGAACGGAACATTGGAGCTTTCTCAACTAAATATGCGTTGCATATTGACCCTTCAACTACGGCTTTATTCTTAACATTAATTTTTAATTTGTGAAGGTACCTATAATAATATTGTGAGTGCATTATACTTAACAAATATTTTAAAGAGTTATTTAATAAGGGATGTCAAAAAAAAAATTATCTTTCAAATGGATACATCCATCGATATTGTACGAGTCCCGGTATTTTTGCTTCATACGCCAAGTGTACGAGAAGATGCTTGATGGAGTCAAAAAAACTAAGTGGGACAATACGCTCTAATTTGCACGGGATTATTACTATATCTTTCTCAAGATGAGTAATATCTTCGACCTTAATCACGGTAGATGTCAATTCCTTAAAGAATAAGCTAAGCTCGGTTAGTGATTGCTATACATTTATTGGTAACATGTCACGAAATACAATAGGTATTAACCTTTGTAAAAATACATGACGAGTCATGACTTTTCATGCCATGTAATATGAGGTTATTCATATCGACACACCTTGCCAAGTTAGAGACATATCCATCTGGAAACTTTAGTTGTTTAATCCATTATAGTAATTGTATTTTTTGTTGTTTTTCAAGAGTGTAATAAGCTTTTGGGTATTTTCTAGAGTTTTCATCTATTTCTAAATCGGGTCGTCAACAATATAGCTTTAAGTCTTTTCTAGAATTTGCATTGTCTTTTGTTTTTTTCGACACATTCATAATTGTATTAAACACATTGTCAAAGATATTTTTTTCAATGTGCATCACATCCAAATTATGCCGAATTAGATTAAAACTCCAATAAGGTAGGTCCTAGAATATAATACTTTTTTTCCAACCATAATATTTAGAAACATTATTGTTATACTCATCGTATCCCTCTTCCATTACTTTCAACAACTCTCAATGGTTTAATTCTTGTAAAATTTCAATTCCGAGACTTGATCGGAGGAGCAATGTCTATAACAACCGAATTTTGCTTGAACGCGTTACTATTTTGCACGAACGAATGGCTTAGTGGGAGAAACTTTCAATGGTAATCAAACCATGAATTTTTTTTTGCCGTTTGAAGGCTGAAAGCATAAGAATTTTCCATAGAATATGGGCATGTTGTCTTACCTACGGTACTCCAACCCGATAACATTGAATATCAAGAAAAATCATTAATTGTCCACATGACGCAGCTCTCATCCGAAAATTATCTTTACGGGACACATCATAAGTAAGAGCACCTACTTCCCATAATTCAACCAACTCTTTAATTAAGGGTTGTAAGTATACGTCTAGATTAACTTTAGGGTTTTTAGGACTAAGGACAATTATAGTTAAGAACATATATTCTTCTTTCATACATTTCCATGGTAGTAAATTATAAGGTGTTACAATCACGAGGCCACGAAGAATATTGTTGTCCAGATTTATCAAAAGGCTAAAACCTATCAATGCAAATACCTAATCTAACATTCCTAATTTCGATGCAAAAGAAGGATATGTTTTGTCAAAATGTCACCATGCGAAGGAGTCCGAACAATGACGCATGACGTTTGGCTCACGGACATGTTGCACATGCCATGTCATGTTGTTAGCGGTGGCGTTTGATGCATACAACCTTTGTAATAGTGGAGTTATC